TAGACCCAGGACTGAGGCTGTAGATCCAGGACTGAGGCTGTAGACCCAAGACTGAGGCTGTAGACCAAGGACTGAGGCTGTAGAGCCAAGACTGAGGCTGCCTGTTGGAAAAAGAGTTTCTGTAGAAGGTATAAATACATGTTTCGGTCGCAGATGAACATTGAGATTTAATGTAAGTCCAAATCCAAGACCGTGCTTTTCAAGTTTTTACTTTGTGCAGATTTAAATGTGTTGATCTTATTTCTTTGCAGCACTTTGGAAACTTGTTTTATAAAATGTGCTATATAAATAAAGTGGATTGGATACGAGCAGAGAATGCCTTCACAGCTTTAAGGAACCCTGGAGAGACTTTAAGCGATGGGTTGCTTGTGGCGATGGTACTGAAAGGTTTGCCTGAAAGTTTCAAGCCATTTTCCATCTACATTACCCAGAGCAAAAAAGAAATAAAATTGAGCGAGTTCAAAGCAAAGCTGAGGAACTACGAGATCACAGAAAAGCCTGTAAACTGAGAAGACAACGTAATGATAGATAGATAAATACTTTATTGGTCCCCCGAAGGAGAAATTCAGGTGTCCAGCAGAAGAAGAATCTTTACTTGTTGTTGTAGTACAGTCAGTCAGGTTTGTTGTACAGTCTGACAGCCGAAGGAACAAAGGATCTTTTGAAACGTTCCGTTCGGCAGCGTGGTGATAGGAGCCTGTTGCTTCGATTACTTCTCTGAGTAATCATGCAGAACTCTGCAAACAAACTTTGGTCATGGGTCGATCCAGGCAGCTAGTTCGTGTTTTGATCTTCACCTGGCGGACCAGGCCTTTTCGGTCAGGGAAAGTTTGTACAACTCGTCCAATCAGCCATGAGTGGCGCTGTATTGTCCATAATGAGAACGATATCTCCAACTCCGAGGTTCCTCTTCGGTCCTGTCCACCTTTGACGCTCCTGAAGCTGAGGTAATTACTCCTTAACCCACCTCTTCCAGAACAAGTCAGCCATGTATTGGACCTGTTTCCACCTCCTGTTTGCATACAAGTCTGCGGTCTGGAATACTCCTGGTGGCAGTAATGGGGAGTTCTTCAGAAGCAATAGGTGATTAGGAGTTAATGCCTCGAGATCATTGACATCCATAGAGGCCTTAGTGATCGGCCGACTGTTTATTATTGCTTCAGCCTCACACAGAAAAGTGTGTAGTCTTTCCTCATCCAGGTTGTGAGTCCTCAAGGTGGAGTTCAGAACTTTGCGCACAGATCTTATGAGCCGTTCCCATGCACCTCCATGATGAGAGCCAGTGGGTGGATTAAAACTCCATTTTATTCCTCTCTGCAGCATCACATGATTAATCTGCTCCTTATTCCACTGCTCCATAGCACTTCGCAGCTCCCGCTCTGCTCCAACAAAGTTCGTGCCGTTGTCTGAACGGAGCTCTCGAACTTGTCCTCTTCCTGCCAGAAAATGTCTAAGTGCATTTATAAAAGAATCCGTATCCAGTGACGGAGCAACTTCAATGTGTATGGCTCTGATGGCCAGGCAGGTAAAAATTACACCATACCTTTTCACCATAATCCTTCTGCTCTTTACTTCAAAGGGACCGAAGTAATCTACACCCACTCGAGTGAAGGGCGGCTCATCAGGGGCAACTCTTTCGTGGGGCAAGTCTGCCATCTGCTGGTGAACTGGCAGAGCATTCAGGCGGCGACACGTAATACATTTTGACAGCACCTTTCTTATTGCAGTACTGGCACCAATGACCCAGTATCGCTCTCTCAGCTTTGACAGCATGTGGTTACGACCTGCAAGTCCCACTTGATGATATACATACTGCAGCAAGAGCTCTGTTATATGGAAACCTTTGGCCAATATAATTGGATGCTTCACCTCCACAGGCATAGACAGTTTGCAGAGATGACCGCCAACTCTCAGGACTCCATCTAATAACTGTGGGCAGAGCTTACGAAGATGGCTAGTTGTTTTCACTGGCTCCCCCTTCTTCAGACTTGCCAATTCCTCCGGAAACGTTCCTTTCTGGCAGTACATTATAATGGCCAGTTCAGCTTTCTCCAAATCCTCTACTGAGAGTGTATGTGAGCCAGTGGTCCTCTTGAACTTTTCCATTTCTTTGTTCTCTGTGGCTTTCTGCTGCACTTCAGTGAGGTGAGATTGTGCCTGATGCAATAGTCTTCTCTTTTCCACGCCGGACAGAAGCCAACTTTTGATTCTCAATATCCACGCCACAGATGTTTTAAGGCGTGTCCAGGAGGAAAAGTATTGGATCAGATAAAACACAGGGTCTTCTGTCTGCACAGCATTCACCACAACAGTTTTCTTCACCTCGGGATCTTCAGGAGGGAGCTTTCCCAGGTCCTGAGGACAAACAGGCCACTCACTTTCCGAACATAAAAGAAAGTGAGGTCCTGAAAGCCACGTAGCGTGTTTGACAAACGCTTCGACCTTTATACCTCTGGACGCTATATCTGCTGGGTTGGTGGCAGTATCCACATACCTCCATTGAGCAGGACTGGAAGCCTTCAATATTTGTGAGACACAATTAGCCACAAACACTTTATATTGGGATGTCTCATTTCAAATGTATTTAAGGACCGATTGACTGTCTGTCCAAAATACAGATTCGACCAGTTCCATCTGTAATTCCTTCTTCCAGAGCACATCCATTCGGCTCGCCATGGTTGCGGCAATGAGTTCCATCCTGGGAATAGTCACTGACTTAAGAGGAGCCACACGAGATTTTCCCATCACAAAAGCAGTGTGCCGTTCTGAATCAATATTTCTTGATACCAGGTAAGTGACTGTTCCATATCCGTTTTTGCTTGCATCGCAAAAATGGTGCAACTGTGCTGAACAGACATCTCCAAAGTGTGGTTGTTTTAGGCACCTGCCCACTTCAAATAAATCCAGCAGAGGGAGCTGTTGATTATCTTTAACCATTGCTTTGCGATAGAGTCTGGAACATGATCATCCCATCCAATTTCTCTCCTGCACAGATCTCTCATAATCCTTTTTGCAGTTAGAATCACAGGGCTGAGCATGCCGAGGGGATCGTAGATGGAGGCAATGGTCGAAAGCATTCCTCTTCTGGTGAGCGGTCTTTCCTTGATCTGGACTCTGAACTTAAATCTGATTTGACTGACCATTCCACTCCCAGCACTCTCTCCACTTGCACAGCATCATATTCCATATTCCGCATCTCCATTCCCTTTGCTCTGCAATTTTCTGGGATGACGTCTCAGACTGCTGCTCTGTTGCTCATCCACTTTGTGAGAGTAAATCCTCCTCTTGAACACAGCGAGACTAACTCATGGTGCAGCAACACAGCTTCCTCTTCAGTGGCCACAGATACGAGTAAATCGTCGACATAGAAGCAGTGATGGAATCTTTGTGAAGTCTCTTCTGTGTAGAGATGCCGTAGTCCTCTGCACACCTTCTGAGAGCATAATTTGCACAGCTGGGCGATGACGTGGCCCCGAACCAATGTACCCTCATCCGGTACTCAGCAGGCACTTGATCCATATCACCATCTTGCCACCAGAGGAACCTTAGCAGGTCTCTGTCATCAGGAGTGACCAACACCTGGTGGAACATCGCTTCTATGTCCCCCATAATCACTACTGGTTCCTTCCTGAACCGGGTAACAATACCGATGAAGGAGCTGGTTAGGTCTGGGCCTTGTAGGAGGTGAGCATTTAACGATATGCCTTGAAAGCTCACTCCACAATCAAACACCACTCTCAGCTTCTTCTTTGTGGGATGATAAACTCCATGGTGTGGGATGTACCATACTTTGCCACTGCCACTACTCAGCTCCACCTCGGGGACCTCCTCTGCATAGCGTTTAGCCACAAGCTCTTTAATAAAGGTGTTATATTCAGTGAAAAGGGTTGCATCCTTTTGCAGCCTCCTCTTCATTTGTAACAAGCGCTGCATGACCATCTTCTTATTATCAGGCATTTTGACTTTCATCTGCTTCAATGGCAAGCCAATCTGATAATGCCCATCCACTTGTTTCACTGTATCTGTCACCTTTTCCAGGAATTTTTGATCTTCTCTTGACAAAGGTGGCATTTCCTCCATGGTGCTCTCTGGGAAATCATTTTGAATTGCTGCTGCCACAGCTCGTCCAGATTATCCATCCATCCATTTTCTTCCGCTTCATCCGTTGCCGGGTCGCGGGGGCAGCAGTCTAAGCAGAGACGCCCAGACTTCCCTATCCACACACACTTCCTCCAGCTCGTCCGGGGGAACCCCAAGGCGTTCCCAGGCCAGCTGAGAGACATAGTCCCTCCAGCGTGTCCTGGGTCTTCCCCGTGGCCTCCTCCCGGTGGGACGTGCCCACCGGCATGGATTCCTGTGTGTAGACCATAGGTTCTCTAACTGGGGTACGCGTACCCCTAGTGGTACGCGTACCACTAGGGGTACGCCAAAGAATCACTGAAATAAATATAAATCAAATAAAAATCAAATAAAATACATTTACATGAAATACTATCAAACATATTAGAATGGATGAAATATATCAACCTATGGCAAGAAAATGAAGAGAGATATAAATTAACTTTTAATTAACAAGTTTGCAAGTGCTTCTGGGTAGCAGTAGTCCTATGTAACATTTGAAATTGCCGTTGACGTTGAGTCAGACAAGCTGACGCTAGCGGTTACAGGCAATAATAGGTGATGGCAGGAGGTGGAGTTTTTTAATAATGAAGTCTTCAAAACTACTGTCGTGGCTTCAGTCTGCGAAGGGAAGTGTGGACCAGGATGAAGCAAGCACTGAAGAGGACGAGTGCAGGGAAGGTGCAGGTGCACACAGCGGCTTTAGTGGCGCCAGTGAAAGCCACAGAGCAGCTCCCAGAGCAGCTGCTAGCAACAAACGGCACAAAAGATTGAGGAAATATGATGACAATTATATCAATTATGGATTTATTTGGAGTGGGAGAGAGGAAGGGCCAAAGCCGCAGTGTGTGGTATGCGGCGAAGTTTTGAGCAATGAATCCATGAAACCGTCGCATCTCAAACGGCATCTTAAAACCAAACACGGGAAACATAACGACAAACCAGTGGAATTTTTTTTACGAAAACGTGAAGAACTGAAGCAGTCAAAGTCCATCATTCAATCCTGTGGAACACCTGTAGCCAAAGCACAGGAGGCTTCATATCGTGCCAGCCTCAGGATCGCCAGAGCCGGTAAGCCGCACACAATCGGGGAACAGTTGTGTTTACCTTTAGCTAAAGAGATGACGCGGATCATGTGTGGAGAGAACGCTGCCAGAAAGTTAAACTTGGTGCCACTTTCAAATGACACCGTGTCAAGGAGAATAAAAGACATGGCTGATGATGTTAAAAACACACTGATTGAGCGCATTAAGAACAGTCGATATTTTGCCATACAGCTCGATGAGAGTACAGATGTAGCAGATTTGGCCAATTTATTAGTTTATGTGAGATATGAATATGATGGTGCAGCTCAGGAGGATATTCTGTTCTGTCAGTCACTTGAAACCAGAACTACGGCAGAGCACATATTCCAGCTACTGAACGCGTTTATCCATGAGAATGGACTGGACTGGAAAAAGTGTGTGGGGGTGTGTACAGACGGCGCGAGGGCTATGACGGGTCGTAACAGCGGGGTAGCCACTCGCATCAGAGAGGTGGCACCTGAGATGCGCTGGACTCACTGCAGTATCCACCGTGAGGCACTGGCAGTGAAGAAGATGCCTGATGACCTGAAGTCTGTGCTGGACTCTGCTGTAAAAACTGTGAACTTCATAAAGTCCAGACCGATGAATGCTCGCTTATTTCATGTGCTCTGCGAGGAGATGGGTAGTGAGCATGTCCAACTCTTGCTTCATACTGAAGTAAGGTGGCTTTCAAGAGGAAAGGTACTTTCGAGGCTTTTCGAATTGCACAGAGAGGTCCAGATGTTCTTGCAGGACAAACATTTCCCTCTCTCAGACATTTTTGAGGATGCTGTGTGGCTCAGTCAGCTGGCATACTTGTCTGACATTTTTTCACGTTTCAATGAATTGAATTTGGGACTGCAGGGACTCTCTATCAATGCTTTTGATGTACAGGACAAAATCAATGCACTGCTGAAAAAGTTCGAGTTATTTGAACTTAAAGTCAAGACAGGTGATGTTTCAGCTTTCCCTGCTTTGGAGAGTTGTCTGTCTGATAATGACCTGATGCTTGATGATGGAGTCAGGGAGAACATCGCTGCACACCTCGCATCACTCAGACAACAGTTCTGCAATTATTTCCCTGTGATTCCTGGAGCTGAGGCTAGAAGCTGGATGAGAAACCCTTTCAACATCAGCACCTCTCACGTGGCCTCAATGGACTTAACTGTTGTTGAGCAGGAGAAATTAATAGAGCTGTCTTGTGACGAAACACTGAAGGCATCTTTCAGAAAGCACACTTTGTTGGACTTTTGGATGAAGCAGTACAGTGAATACCCTGTGCTTTCTGACAAGGCAGTGCGTTTTCTCCTTCCTTTTGCAACCACCTATCTGTGTGAGAAAGGCTTCTCTTCACTTGTTGTCATAAAAACAAAGTACAGAAGCAGGGTGGATGCTGAGCCAAACCTGAGACTGAAGCTGACCTCCATTGACCCAGATATTGCAGGACTGTGTTCACAGAGGCAGGACACCCATCACACACAACTCATGCAAGTTGTCATTAATAGTCTGTGTATGTTTAATTACAGCTGTTAATTCTCTTTTTTTTATTCTAAATCTTATTGTTCTTCCTCTGTGTTTGTGTTTGTTTCAGAAAGCAGCCAGTGTGTAAAGTTGAGACAGCAAGAACTGTTACTTGCAGCTAGGTATACGGCCTTAGTTTAGTTTCATAACATTGAAGTACAGTACAGTTTTATTTAATCTTTAAGAACAGATTTTTTACATTTATTTTAGTACAATGTTTATTTAACTTTTATGTGCAATACATTTTATTTGAATCATTATTTAAGTAGAGTTATTAGTTTTTTTTCCTAAATTTAAGTCTTAATGTTGAAATTGTAAAACAGTGGTTCTCCCTCTGTATAATGTTATAATGGCTGACAATATTAAATATACCTCTTTAGGAATGAAACCTCTGCCTTGTTTTTGATGAATACTTCGGCTTATTACGCTACTGTGTGGTGTTGGTCATTTGTGGTGGTACTTGGAGAGGCAAGTATTTTCTGAGGTGGTACTTGGTGTGAAAAGTTTGAGAACCATTGGTGTAGACCATTGGCAGCTCCAGAAACTCGTCTCCCTCCAGAGCAGCAACTTCGAGGCCAGACACCATGTTGCTTTTCATGACTTTCTCCTGTCCCATTGTGCGGAGAAGTATATTTCCTTTTCTTCTGGTCAAGTTGGGCTTATTCATCAGGGACGTACAAAACACTGCGGTGCTCCCTTGGTCTAGAAATGCATAAGTTGTGACCGTTTTGCTTCCTTTCTTTGATTTAACTTGAACAGGTACGATGGGCAGCTTACAATCTTGATCCCCAGCCCCTGTAAGGCCACTCGCTATTAGAGTATTGGCAACGGAGGCCACTTCGTTCCTTTCAGTCTGCGTGGCACCATGAACAGATTCTTTGTGCGAGAAGAGTGGGATGTTTAAGGCTAAAACCTCCGGAGACCCGCGCGTTTGTCTGTGTTTATTTATAATTTTTTTTTGCTATTTAGGATACGATAGGGACCCAATAAGTATCAACCTAACACTGTCATTTTGTACGGAAGAGTTTTGAGAAAAAACATGTCCTCGTATGAGGACAGTGGGTTTCTCAGAACGATATCGCGAGTGGTGTATGATAAATACAATACTAGAACAAATAAATGGCAAATATAGTAACAGTCCTAAAACTGTACAAATCTTGCTGAACTGCTTTGATCCGGGCTTTTTCAATCTAGCTTCCCCTCGCTGTTCTAAAAAGCAATCTGTCTGCCTGTTTGGAAGAGCCCCGATTGGCAAGTGTGAAAAGCTGCAAAGCATTGCGTTCATTTTGCAAGCACAGGTACACATTGCATGTCATGCATCGGACTCAGGATTTTCCAATGCAGTCTTGGCGCTGCACCGCATGGGGTGTTTTGCAAGGCCACATCTCTGGGTTAGGGTTACAATATAGTCTAGTACATGGTGTTTAGTCCCCCTCCTGAGGCGCATACCTTTTCCTACTCCTCCCAGTCCCAGGTTTGGCCTCTCAAACGAGTGCTTCACTTTTACTGACATCCTAGCCTGCTACGAGTCAATCAAAAATTTGTCAAATTTCAAACTCCATATGAAACTAGAGACATTATTGTGCATAAATAAATTTATTTCATTCATAAAAATGTTGATAGAAGTTTTACCTGGGGCCTTTTTCTTCTGTGAACTCCTGTAGAAGTCTTTTGCTGATATTCCCGCCATTTTTTTCCTACTGCCTTAACCCTCTAGGCGCCACGGTCAACTTAAAGACCTTATGCGGTTTGATTTATTTAGAAATACAGTTTTAATACCATTTTATATTGGGAAGAGAACTACTAAAGTTTCAAAATCAGTTTTTTTTTTTGTCTGATCCCCCCCAAATCAAAATAACCCCATAGCAACGCCCTTAGAGAGACGAAAAAACTTCACAGCCTTGGTGACGTCAGATACGGGTACGTTTCAACGCTGTAAATTGTTTACAATTTGGTATTCGTTTTTTTTTTCGCGGATATTCAAGATGACAAGGCCGTGTACAGCGAGTCTGACATAAATACTAGATTGCAACTCTTCGTTGGCACTGAGATAGTCCAGTGGTTGTGTCGATGCCCTGCCCATCCAGATACTGGGGTTCAAATCCCACCTCTGAGTCTGACCTTCAGGCTGATCTACAAGCCTTTTCCTAACAAAAAAAGGCCTGTAGGCAATGTTTCCTCCTTTTCTTTTAATGTTTAGACTAAAGGGAAGAGGGCGATGATACGATGGGCAATTAATAATGGAAAATAAACACGCATGCACCCCGCACGCACACACACACAGGCACGCAGACCCACACTGGCACACACAGGCACGCACACACACGCAGACACACAGGCACGCACACACACACAGGCACGCCAGACCCACACTGGCACACACAGGCACACACACACACACGCAGACACACTGGCACGCTGACACACGCACACAGGCGCGCATACAGGCACGCACACACACATACACACACTAAAAGTTCTACAAACTGAACAAGTAATGCGCTGCAGTACGTGTGTCTATACTTTGTGTCAAATGTAAACGGTTGGCTCTGCATCGCTAACTTACCTCTTTGTTTTCATCACGACTTGGGCACATGTCCAACAACCCAAAACATTAGCACACAGCACCGGCTCCACGGAGTCAGGGTGCGTTCACAGACGGGGGAAACCGTGGGAATTTTTAGCTTTTGCCGGAAAAAGTGCGGAAGATTCTCAAGATTATTACATTGCCGTCTTCCGAGGGGGGCACTGGGGGTGGCAAGGATATTTTTAGAGGTGGCAGTGGCCACCCTGGCTACCCCTCTGGCTCCGCCACTGGTCACGGGACATCATGTCATTTTGGTGGGGACTTTTTAGTCCTCACCAAATATTGGTGGGGACATGTCCCCATGGTCCCCACGCAAACCTACGCCCTTGGCACTGTATATAGAGGGTAAACATCAAAGTGGGTTATGTGCACACTGTAACGAAAATCAAACTGTCGTTGTCATGCATTGTCCAGTATATTTTGGTCAGCGAGCCGTTCTGAAGGAGTTGGTGTCTAAGTTAGCAATGGACTGGAATCTGAAGTCACTCCTGAGCCCAGCTAGAGAACAGAACCATGTTGTGAGAGCGGTTTTGAACTTTGTGCGAGCAGCTGAGCTGAATATCTGGGTATAGGCAATAGGCTTGAAGTCTATAACCTGCAGAAATGAATGCAGTGCACAATATGACCGGGAAAGGCAGCAATGTGCGAAGAGGCGCCAAGTCTGCCGGAAACTAAAAGAAGAAGAAGACCCGGAAGTAAGAACAAGAGCGTGTTTTTGTTGTTTCACACGGCCCCATTTTCCTTCAGTGCCTCCTTGGATCTACAACAGACTCCCACAGAGACAGATGTAAGTACAAGACTTTAAACTCTTTATTGTCCACTAACAGACTGTGGCTTTGAGTCACGTGGGCCTCGGGGATTCCAGCTTTAACTTTGTTTGTGCCAAGATCTGAGTGATCCTGTGTCGGGGCTAATGCTAATGCTAATGCTAATGCTAGTCGTTAGCCTGTCCTTTGTCCTCTCCACTTACTGTTTTCTCTCAGCTGTAGACTTAGTTCAACATTCATTCATGTGATTTGTAAATAACGTGTATGTTGGACTTTTCTTCACTCACTTTAAAACAAGTCAATACAATAGAAAGGTCCAGGATCACGTGCTCTCACAGGTTCAATCCTTCTCGATCATTGTTATTTAGCCTCAAATGAAGCTGTTCATCAATATCTTTAGGGTTTCCTTCAAATGTAAGGTGCATTTTACCTTACATTTCAAGAGGACCATGTTACAGTCCAGAGGCTGTGCTCTGTGCTCTCTGCTCTGTGCTCTCTGCTCTGTGCTCTCTGCTCTCTGCTCTGTGTTCTCTGCTCTGTGTTCTCTGCTCTGTGTTCTCTGCTCTGTGTTCTCTGCTCTGTGCTCTCTGCTCTGTGTTCTCTGCTCTGTGCTCTCTGCTCTGTGTTCTCTGCTCTGTGTTCTCTGCTCTGTCTCCAGTGAACCCTCCTCAGATCCAGATCTTTCAACATTTCGCCATATTTCAGGCTTCAAACATAAAGATATAAAATTCTAATTTTTTGTCATGAATCAACAAGTGGGACACAATCGTGAAGTGGAATGAAGTTTGTTGGATAATTTAAACTTTTTTAACAAATAAAAAACTGAAAAGTGGGGCGTGCAATAAGTAAGTAAGTAGTAGTAATCTTTATTTATATACCGCCTTTTCACTGCACATCGGAGTCTCAAAGCGGTTTACAATTGTGATTTTTGGGAGGGGGGGTGCCAGTACAGGAGGCACATGCCAGACCTATTGCACATATTTTTAGTGGTAGGGGAAACCGGAGCACCCGGAGGAAACCTACGCAGACACGGGGAGAACATGCAAACTCCACTCAGAAAGGCCCTGGTCCAACCGGGATTCGAACCCAGGACCTTCTTGCTGAGAGGCGAGAGTGCTATCCACTCAGCCACTGTGCCGCCCAATATTATTCGGCCCCTTTACTTTCAGTGCAGCAAACTCAGTCCAGAAGTTCAGTGAGGATCTTTGAATGATCCAATGTTGTCCTAAATGACTGATGATGATAAATAGAATGCACCTGTGTGTAATCAAGTCTCCGTATAAATGCACCTGCTCTTTGATAGTCTCAGGGTTCTGTTTAAAGCGCAGAGAGAACCATGAAGACAAAGGAACACACCAGGCAGGTCCGAGATACTGTTGTGGAGAAGTTTAAAGCCGGATTTGGATACAAAAAGATTTCCCAAGCTTTAAACATCTCAAGGAGCACTGTGCAAGCAATTATATTGAAATGGAAGGAGTATCAGACCACTGCAAATCTACCAAGACCCGGCCGTCCCTCCAAACTTTCATCTCAAACAAGGAGAAGACTGATCAGAGATGCAGCCAAGAGGCCCATGATCACTCTGGATGAACTGCAGATAACTACAGCAGAGGTGGGAGAGTCTGTCCATAGGACAACAATCAGTCGTGCACTGCACAAATCTGGCCTTTATGGAAGAGTGGCAAGAAGAAAGCCATTTCTCAAAGATATCCATAAAAAGTCTGGTTTAAAGTT